CTGGTCACCAAGTTCCTGCAGCTGATGAAGGAGGAGAAGAGCTTTGAACCTAACCGGTACCTGGTGGTCTCGGTGGCCAACGTCATCTGTGCCATGTGCTTTGGCAAGCGCTACGAGCACAATGACCAGGAGCTGCTCAGCTTGGTGAATTCAGCTGAGCAGTTTGATGCCGTGGCTGGTGCTGGCTACCCTGCTGACTTCATCCCCCTGCTCCGGTACCTTCCCAGCCGCAGCATGAAAGCGTTTATAGATTTCAACAAGTCCTTCCTCAGCTTCCTCCAGAAGATAGTCAAAGAACATTACGAGACCTATGATGAGGTAAGAGCCTGCAGGACTTTCTGCACCAGCAGTGTGTCCCTGCTCTCCTCCTCTCTCTAGCAAGTAGCTTTTCTTCTTGCAGCCAAGAAGCAATGGGTATTGTCTCTCTCTCCAGTCCTCCTTCTCATAGAATCATAGAATATCATAGAATCACAGAATCTCCTGAAGTTGGAAGGGACCCACAAAGATCATCAAGTCCAGCTCTTAGGTGGAGACAGGACACCCCCCAGAAATCCCACCATGTGCCAGAGAGCATTGTCCAAATGCTCCTTGAGCTCTGGCAGGCTTAGGGCAGTAACCACTGTCCTGGGGAGCCAGTTCTGGTGCCCGACCACCCTCTGGACGATGAACCTTATCCTAACATCCAATCTAAACCTTCCCTGACATAGCTTCATGAGCTTCCCAGCTTCTCCTCCATTCCCTGTGTGATAGGGCCAGTCTGTTGGTTGAACATCTGATCTGTGCCTCAGGTTCCCTGGAGAACCATCTCTTTGTTTTTATAGGTGCCATGGGAAATGGAGCATGCTTATATTACCCTGGGCTTCCCCAGCATCAGGTGGGGTCGCTCAGGAACACCCATTCCTCTGCCAATTCTGCTGCATTGAGGTTGTCTCCTCTTCCTCACAGAACAACATCCGAGACATCACCGACTCCCTCATTGAGCAGTGCCTGGAGAAAAAAGTGGAAAAAACCACTGCCACACAGATCCCTAAGGAGAAGATCGTCAACCTCGTGAATGACATCTTTGGAGCAGGTGCCTCCTCCCACTAGCCCCTCAGCTCCTCAGACCCTTCCTGTTATATCTCTGTCTGATCTATCTTTGTCCAGCACCAGGCACCCAGTTTGTGTCTAAGCACTTACTCTCCTGCTCATTGGTCTTCCTGGACCTTCTAGGGATACCTCTAGAGACCAGTTTGAGAAATTAGCCCTGGAAAGAGGCTTCAGGGACAAGCAAAGGGCATGGCTTATAGATCAGTTGAGGTTCACAAGCCAGGGTGACTTTTTCTGGTTGAGAGAAATGTCTCTGGACTGATTCACCTTTGAGTTACTGTGTGGAAACTCCCCTGATGCCAGAGAAGTTATATGAACCTGACACAACCCAGGAGTGAAACAGGATGAGAGAGTAGGATATTTTAGCAAGGTTTTCTGTGATAGAATGAAACCCCAAGTCTTGCTGTGTGTCCAGGACATCCTCTGCCTTCTTAGCCATCCCAGACTGCTCCATGTGATGGTTAGCCTGCAAGTGGAGATAGGTATTGTGCAGACCTCATCCCCATACCTTCCTCTTTGCCCAGGCTTCGACACAGTGACAACTGCCTTATCCTGGAGCCTCTTGTATCTTGTGACGTACCCTGACATCCAGAAGAGGATCCAGAAAGAACTGGGTAAGTCCATGAACCCCCATCCTCCAAGGCTAAAACCTGTCTGGACTGGGCTGACCCCAACCCACTCCCTCTGCTCTGTCTCCTGCAGACCAGACCATTGGCCGGGAGAGGAGACCTCGGCTGTCGGACCGGGGCACGCTGCCTTACACAGAAGCCTTTATCCTGGAGGTGTTCAGGCACTCCTCCTTCCTGCCCTTCACCATCCCACACAGGTAGGGGCTGAGCTTGCAGAGGAGATCTAAGGAGATCTCTTGAGGCATTTTGTTATGGCCCATGGCAGCACAACTGCACCTCACAAAACCATCCCTCTGGGACACATCCTTCCTTCAGCACCATCAGGAGCAAACTAACAGTCCCCTGAGGATGCAGAAGAATCTTTTGGCTGCCCAAACTCTCCATCTTTTCTCTCCCCAGCACAACTAAGGACACGGTGTTGAATGGCTACTACATCCCAAAGGACCACTGCGTGTTTATCAACCAGTGGCAAGTGAATCATGACGAGTAAGTACCCTGTGAGGCAGAAAGCCTCCTCAGTTTACAAACAGGACCCTTCCTGCACAGTTTTCTTCCTGGGCAGGAGTGGGGTCAACCTTCTCAAAGAGAAAAGGGAGCAGGTGAGGGACCTACTTAATTTAGGGATGTTCTTCTTGGCAGTTCCCACCTTCCAGTGTCCCACCTACACCTGTGGCCAGGAGAAACCATCTCAACATCTGATGTTTTCCCTTCCAGGAAACTTTGGAAGGATCCAGAAACCTTCAACCCAGAGCGTTTTCTCAGTGCTGATGGAACCAAAGTGAACAAAGAAGAGGGGGAGAAGGTGCTGCTTTTTGGCCTGGGGAAAAGGAAGTGCCCTGGGGAAACCATTGCCAGGTGGGAGGTCTTCCTGTTCCTGTCCACCTTGCTCCAGCAGCTGGAGTTCAGTGTCTGCAATGGCAAGAAGGTGGACATGACTCCAATTTTTGGATTGACCTTGAGGCACAAAAGGTGTGAGCACTTCCAGGTCAAGCAGCGCTTCCCCATGAAGAGCAGAAACTGAGCAGTGGGACCAGACATCACCAGGGGGCAAAGACCTGAGTGTCCCTGTGGCAGAGCTGGGTCTGGTACACTGTACAGGATGATGTAATAAACTGAAGCTATTGAAACTCCTGTTTTATCTGGTTCACTTTGTAACATTTCTCGCCTTTTTCTTTTTGCAGTGTTTCTAGTGTTGCATATTCCATTAAGTGTTGCTCATTCCATCACATCTAATCTTAGACTGTAACCTTTTAGAATTGCTTGTTGAGAGTTGAAGGACGGCCAACCCATGCCGTAATTCCACAGCCTCCATTAGTGTTTAAGAAGCACAGAATTATAAATTTGTTTAGGTTGAAAGAGACTTTAATATCATCAAGTCCAACCATTAACCCAGCACTGCCAAGGCCACCACTAACCCATGTCCCCAGGTGCCACATCCACATGTCTTTTGAATCCCTCCACGGCTGGTGACTCCACCAGTGCCCTGGGCAACCTGTACCAGGGTTTGACAACCTTTTTGGTGAAGAAATTTTTTTCAACATCCAGTCTAAATCTCCCATGGTGCAACTTGAGGCTTCAACCACCTCCTTTGCCATGGTCACTGCCGGCTGTGAAGGACACAAGGAAGGACACCTTCACCCCTTGCGAAAAAAGAAGCTGCTGGTGTTCTAGACTGGAGTAAGGGTGTTTTCACAGCAGGAAGAGAATGAGAACAGGAATTCCTCCAACTCAAACCCCAAAGTTTACATTGGCTGCGAGTCAACCCATGCCAGCAGAGCCAGGTGCCTCCATTTCTCCAACTTGCACGCAAAGCCATCTTAGCCAACCCACTACCTGGCAACCAACAATATGGGAACAAGTAGAACCATCCAGTGCAACACACTCTGCTCTTACTCTCGTTTCTGTGGGAGGCATTTGCGTTCAGAGCCCCAGACCCTGACCAGTGAGAGCTCCTTTGATGTCCAAATACTGATCACTCACCACATATTGCACAAAAACTTCCAAGAAGAGGCAGAAATGAAAGCATGTTGGGGAAGAAAACAGGGAAGCCAGTTGCCCAAGACTTCAGCTTGTTCAGACCCGCTAAGCAAGCCTGAGTGAAAAGCAGTAACTCTGCGTGTCTGGGTCCTGCTTGGTCACCAGTTTGTGGTGAAATATTGATGTGAGGCAGCCACAGAGCCCCGTGAATTCATTGAACCAGCACAAGCAGCTTCACTCTGTGTCACACCAACTTTGCCTTCACCACTTGAAGTCATAATGCCAATATTGCAGGAGAAGCAAGGGTGAGGACAGGGAGGTCCAAAGCACAGTTTGTGCTGCAGGCTATCAGAGGCCTCAGAAGAAAAGCAGAAGGATGCTGGAGGTCCACCAGCCAAATGACATCTCCACTACCTACAACAAGGACAGTAGGTCAGGGCGATGGAGTCACAAACCCACTTTCCACAAGGGACATCCCAAAGCCAGCATTCACCTGCTGCAGCAGAAGGTGGGACCATCCTGGAGGTGAATCTCAGTGCCTAATTTAGGGACTCAGAAAAGCAGTGGGACTGCCAGGGACTCATCAGCAGTGTGCCATGCCACCCCTGTGAGGTGGAGAGGCTCTCAGGGACTTGGCCCAATGACTCCACTGCAGTGGGAACATGCAATGCTGGTCCTGGTGTGGGACCACAGGCCTGGTTTGCTGGAGCCATTGCGTGACTCTCTTGCCTGAAGGCTGGCTGGGTTTGCTGATAAGGCCGCAATAAGCAAGAGCAGATACAAATAACAGTGGGAAATCTTTTTCCCCCTTTGGAGATGAGGATTTTACAGCCCTGGAGCAGATAAGCAGCTTAATATTAACATTAGTGGGGTGGAACAGCCTCTTGCTGGTAGAAGGTCTCCCAAAGATACATTTATCAAGGGTTGAATAAGTCACCCCTGTGTCAGGATGGGGGAAGGGGAAGGGAAGAGGCCCGAGGGGAGAGAAGTGGGCAGGCAATTATCCTTCCCCACACAGCCCTTTCTCTTCACGGTGTCAGAGCTGAAACAACCCACTTTATAACACCCCATCTACATTTAGCACTTCTCCCTCTCTTTATGTCAATAGAGGCATCCCATGTTTCTGTGGAAGACCTCTCCAAGCACCTTGCACAGGCAGGAGGAACCCCTGGGACCTTGGTCTGATATCTCTTGGACATCTCATCCAACAGCCCAGTGACTCCAGGTGGTGTCCCAGTTTTCCTGCTGGCATTCATAATATAATAGAATAGAATCTCCTGAGTTGGGAGGGACCCACAAGGATCATTGAGCCCAGCACAAGACAACCCCAAGAATCCCATCATATGCCCGAGAGCATTGTCCAAAGGATCCTTGAGCTCTGGCAGGCTTGGGGCCATGACCACTGCCCTGGGGAGCCTGTTCCAGTGCCTGACCACGCTCTGGGGGAAGAAACTTTTCCTAACATCCAACCTAACCCCCCCCTATTCATCATCACTGCCGTGAAAGCCTCAGTTTCTCATAGTAAGTAAGGGACTCCATCTCCCCTAACTTTCCTTGCCACTAACAACCTTCCTCAATTAAGCCCTCCAATTACTCCCTGGGTAGCCTGCAAGTGCCACAATTCCTTTACTGGAATTGGGGGCAGTGATAAGCCAGGGGAGCTTTGATCACTCCATGGTCAATTACTTTTATGGTAGGTTTTAAAATGAGTCATGAGATCAGGTATGGCAACAGGGCTCCAGCTCCTCTTTCAAAGGGGAGCAATGCTCCCAGCACCCTCATTCCCACAGGAAAAAGTCCAGGCAGGCACACATCTTCTCCCTCAAGCTGAGACACCTGCCTGATGCCAGCATTTGGGCTGGTGGCATCTCCTCACTGGGAAAGCCTGTCTCCAGCCCCAAAATGGGTCAGATACACCACTTGTGACTCTTCCTCGTGGATGGAAAGAAGAGAGGAGTTCTCCAACATTAATGACCCTCCTGATTAAAAATGAATGCTGCATTTCTAATTCCTTTCCTTTGGCTGTTTCAGATCTGTTATCAGGAATCATCTCCCCATGGGGATTAATGCTGTGTGTCTTGCTTTTGCTGCTTGTCTCCAACACTGGTGACAGAGGAAAACCCCCCCAACACCATCTTTCTTATTGCATCTCCACTGGGACAGAGTTGGGATCTCCCATGCCTTGAACTGGTTTCTGATTACCCCTTTCTGGGCAAAAAAAATCTCTGTTCAGCCTTCATGAGAAGCTTCTGGGGTGCTGGAGCTGGTGGGACCTTCCCCTGGTGAAATTTCCTCCGTGGTGTGTTGGGGAAGATCCTAGTTCTCTGCTCCATCCAGGTTGAACCCGTGGATGAAGCAGAGCTTAAGACAGTGGAGCTGGACACATTAAACATGGTCCATGTCTTTGCTCAGGGGCTGTATGTCTCTGCTACAGGGGCTCCCAAATCAGTGTGAACCCTTCTTCCTCCTCCCACCCCTCCCCTCCCTCTTCCCCATGGAAAGGAGGCAGCTTTGGGGCTAATTGACTGCCTTTTGTCATTAGAGGTACAAGGTACCCGTGAATCAGAGGACATGAAGGCAGGTAAGGATGGAGTTTGTTCCCAGGCTGAGAAGGGAACAGCAGAGATGTGGAGATAACTGCTCCCTTGCATGCAAAGTGCTGCTCAGGAAAAGCTCCAGGCTCCCAGGAATCTCCTCAAACCTGGCTGTACATCCACTCTGGCATGATTTTCCATGGGGGAAAGGGAAAGGAGAAGGGGAGATGGGATGCACTCAGGGCTGGCAGTCACCTGTACATCTCCAGTGGTGGGAGAGCCAGCACCCCCAACCTGCTCGACTTTGATTAAAAACATCCTGGGAATAAAGGCTTCCCATTCCCTTGAGCCCTTGAAATGAGGCTGTTCTCCACATCCAAGGGGGTTTTGGGGTTCGCATGAGGGGAGAAGCCCACTGAGAACTCAGATTTGGGATGGAGGGAGCAGGATCCTAATTCACTGTCCCCTCCCACTGGGATTAGGGACATGAACGCCCTCCCGTGGCACCTGCCACACCAGCTCCGCCAGTGCCTGTGGCTGCTGGGCAGAGAGGAGCAACGGGTTTTACCCCTGATGGGACTTTTTTTGTGGGGAGGAACACCTGGGGAGGGGGATCTCTAGGAGGCTGACCACCCTGCAGGGCATCCCGCATCCCTTACCATCCCCAGGAGCTCTGGAAGCCGCAGAACCAGCAAAACCTGGTTCACTTCGGGGTTTTTTCAGCTGGAAGATGGGTTCTCCAGGGTGGAATGAGCTGGGAACTTTCATGCTGACTTTGATGTTTCCAGCCACCACCTGCAGATTCTTCGCTGTCTTGTACATTCAAGGCAGCAACACTTCCCTTTCCTTGCCCACCACTTATCCTACCTGTGCTGCCAGAATCCCTCAAAGGCACCAAACCCACTGCCCCGCAGGGACTACACCAGCCGGGGGATGCAGAGAAGAGGCAGAGACAGGGCAGGCAGTTGCCAGTCCTTTACTCGGTCGGGATTTCACCGTCGGCTCCTCCTCTGATGCGTTTTTTCCCCTTTCTTTTATTTCCCCTTTTCCTACTGATTCCAGCCGGCTGAAGGGCCCCCTCTCCTGGTGCAAGGCGGGGAGATGGCCATCCATGCCTCGCCTGCCGTGACCAAATTCATCCTTCCCTTCCACCGAGGGAATCACACAATCACACCCTCAAACCAAGACCTGTTCCGGGAAAAATTCCAGACGAGCCATTGCAGCAGCTGTGCCTGGAGGATTCCCCCTCTATCTCCTGCATGGACCAGCCTCAGCTGCATCACCATATCATCCATCACCCTTCCAGCCATCCCTGGGAATGCTGATGGTCTTGGAGTTTCAGGGAGAGAAAAAAAACCCCTGTGGCAGCTCTGAGTATCCATTGCTGTGCATTTGTTGGAGGATCTCCCTCTTCCTGATGAACGGGGAAAACCTGGGACTGGGCACGATTCCCCACCAAGCTGGGTTCATGCCTCGACTTTTCACCCAAGAGCTGAGACCCACCAGCTTTGTGCTCCTCCCCAGACCCAGGGAGGGAGGACTCCTGGCTCCAGTGGTGCTGTGATAAGGATATTTCTGGAATTCTAGTTAACTGTCACACAAAACATCCTGTGACTGTGC